CCATGAAATATGTTATTAATATTAATTGTTAACTTTGATTTAGATTAAAATAATCGATATCAAACATAACTTTATAAAAAAAAAAAAATCAAAAGTTGGGGGGCACGTGCCACCCCGGGTCCGCCCCTGATGGTATGTTGAATTAATTAAGGAGAGATTCTACCTTATTCAGCGCAGGTAGTTAAAGACCAGAATATAAAAGTTTCGGATAACAATAATTTTATTTGCAGTCGTTCACTACCGTAGTTACTCTACGTGACATTTGAAATAACTTGTTCCTACACAAGCTTATAACCTACTAATAAATCAACCTTGTAGCACTAGCACTTTGCGTTTTTCTATTCCACCGCACTCCATTTTGAGATATGTATCTAATAATATTAGGGTTTAAAACCAATATTAATAGGGTTTTCGTCCCTCTTAGTTGTCAATTTTAATAGCAGGATTCGAGCATATGATCGCCCCTACATCTCTGACTCTATACTCTAAATAGATGTGTAGTTCTCTATGCATCGTGTGACCTTGTTTCCTACACTCCTCTAATTGTACCATTACCAACTGGGTTCCCGTTCTAGTGCACTTGAGCCAAGGACCTTGAACCCTGAACGTCGACTAACGCAAATATGGACAAAAAAATTTACAAGATCAGGTTTATTGGTCATTTTGTTCAATTTGGTAGCAACTAAATACATGTTTAGTAAAAATTAATCGACAATATTATGTAAGAAAACAAACAATATCTTAATGTTTCTCTCCGTTATGCATAATATTATCTTTCAAAACCCATAAAATATGACATTATTTATATAGGATTACAATATATTTTTTTTAACATAAATGTGCTTAATTATTCATAGTTGTCGCTGTCACTATACTTATCAACATGATCCAATTATTTGAAAAGACTAACAAATTGTTCTTGATAAATATGCCTGGTTTCCACACATTTTGTTTGTTTTTGTAACATTGCTAAGATGGTTGACAGAAACATATTTCAAGTTGTGCAGCTGATTTTCAGCTCTAGTCCTGCAAGTTGGTTAGAAAACTCATTGTCTGAAGGGCCCTAGGGACACGAAATATTGTCAACCTCAAAGGGAAAATGGTACAAATTTTTAACTGTTCAGATAAGTGAATGACAAAGAATCCATCAAACAAGTTGGTACTTACCCCAGTTATTGCTTTCCTACGTACGTCGGTAAACTTGTCCATATTTGAACTCAATTTTTTCTAAATATTAATTTTTACGAATCTATTATAAAAATGGAGCTCGAGACAGTAGTCCAATTAAAGTTTCTGGAGCAAGCAAGCTGGCATGCGTGTCCACGTAGAGGGTTTCTATGGTACAGACAACGCCACCGCAACTTCGAAAGTACAATTGAGGAGCTTTGTCGTCTTTAGATGAAAAAGATTTAACAGGCTATCGAAATGAATAGAGTTTTGAGGTCGAAGGGATAAATCCCATTTCAAAATGTTATTGACCGTTTGGTACACATTAAAATGGAAGAATGCATTTTTTTTAAGTGATGTGATGGAGAATATGTGATTGAAAAAGAAGTAAAAATTATTGATGTGATGGAAAATATTATTTTATTGAAAAATGTATGATTAAAAATGAGTAGAAGAATGAGGATAAAAAAAATAATGTGGACCAAACAGGGGCTAAATTGTGTTTGATGAATATTATCGAGGCAATAATACATTTTAAATAGTGATATAATAAGAAATATGTGGTTAAAAAATAAGGAAAAGTTACTGATGTGATATAAAATATTAATTTATTAAAAAATGTGTGGTTGGAAATGAATTTTGAAATAATGTGTACCAAACAGGGGATAATAAATAACCAACATATAAAGTCCATGTTTAATTCCCATACTTCTTTAAAAAAAAAAAAAATTCTACATACTCATTTTCAGCTACACATTCACGCAATAAAATATTTTACACGTAAATTTAAATTTTTTTTCTACCTTTTAACAATTATTCTAAAAACACTATTCAAAACTCTTTTTCTTAGAAAGAATGGCTACCAATTAGGGGCAAAGTTTTGGATTACTCTTATTAACAAGGTTAATCTTTTAAGCGAAACCTCAGATTTTTAATAATATCTAGACTCTATTTATGGAAGAGTGGGTATCAAAGGAAATTTAAAGAAACAAATATTTCTTGCTTGAGGTATAGTAATTATATTGTATGTGGATCATTTAGAGTGATATACAAGTTTGGTGGCTCAAAATGACCGATGTCGGAGCGGAGACAGAATGGAGCATAGTGACGGCATCAACATTGTAGGTTTAATCACTGTTTGTTTGTCAGGGACGCTGAATAGGTTGGGGTGCGGGGACAAAGCCCCCCCGATACGATACATTTGTATTTTTCTTGTACGGGCCCTAAAGTCCGTATAGGTTTAGGTTAGAGTTAGTATAAACACTGATGATATAACCCTATTATTTATACTGAATAAAAAATTTCGCTTCGCTCCTTGTGGACGTAGACATATCGTCGTACCATATTAAATACTTGTGTTGATTTCTCTATTCACTTTTTTATTATTTTGCGCTTAAAATCCAACAAATAATATCGAAAACAAATAAACTTTTAAGATCGAACCTTGTAAATGAGTATTGTGCAAGTATGTATGTGTAATTGAAAAAATATATCCATAATGCATGTTACAATCAACTAAAAGTGACCCCTCTATATCACAATCTCAACCGTGGTCCTCCATCATGTGCATTGGTTCTTTTTATATCCTTTTTCGAGAGGGATTCGTTGAAATCTAGAATTAAATTGTATTCATGTAAAATGAATCTTGAACATTACAAATCTACACATCATCAATTCAAGTTAATAATAAATAAGAGTATGATGGGTTGGGCTGTTCTTGATTAACTTTTGAAATATTGGGCTTTTATATAAATACCTTTGCTCGATTGAACTGGATCGCTATCTTTTTTAAGTGGGCCTACTGTTTAGGATATTCTTGGTGGTCATTTGTTACAGAAAAATGTTCAAATTAATTTTACTCGGAATTTTTTGGCAATTTAATCATTTTTAGGATAACTGGTCTAATCTAAATGGTTGAGAGTAATTGTAAATTTTATAAGCTTATTCCTATAATATAATATTCAGTCTATGTTGCTTCAACCTCCAAAATTAATTAGGCATAGCCATTGAAAAAAAAAAAAAACCCCCCTCTTATAATTGAGTAAAATATATAATTATGTCTCGAGGGATAACAGACAAACCCTCACTTGTAGGTCATCTAGTTTGTGGATCAGCCCGGACTGAGTACTCGTCTAAGCTTCTATCGAACAAGTTTGAGTTGACCCACCCAATTTGATATCTCTAATCGAAACTTTTCAGTAACCTCAAGATACGATACTATCTTTTTTCTAATAGATTTTGAAACTATCTTAAAATAATAGTAGTTAATGACTCATGCAGAATTTTAAATAACAATATCGTCAATGATCATAGAGTACATCCTCAACAAGTATCGCAACAATGGCATCCTTAATGTCATCGACAATCGATGATAGTATTTTGATTGTAGATGACCGAAATAAATAAGTATTTTTTATTTACTCTCTCTCTCTCTCTCTCTTTAATATATCATCAATAATTTAAAATATCTTTTTGTTTTAATGTTTTAATTACATTATTTAGTAATGAAATCTGTATCATCAAAATAAAATTTATCAAAATACTAGTTCAATAATACCAACATAAAGTTTGTCTGTAATCTTAAAATTTTAAAATTATTATCATTTCTCTTTATTATTTTATTTAATGATGAAATTTCATTGTTAATCTAAATAATAGCTAATTTTTTTTGTAAAATTAACAACGATTAAAAAGACTTTATTGCTAATATAAAATTTACAAGGTCTTGTCAAAATACAGAGTCTTAGGCGATCGTCTAACCTTATAGTCATCCGACTCTGATAATTTTATATATCGAGCTTATCAAAAAGTCCCAAATTAGAAGTGATGTTACATTTTATCTATGCCTTTGTAATCAATTTCTATATTAATTAATAATCTTTTTGTCTTTTAAAATTATCAAGTATGGCGTAAATAGAAAAGAAAAATGATAATTAGCATCGTCCCACCACGCACCTAGTTGGCGCGTTCCACCTGATTCCCGCGTGAGTTTGAAGCCAATTTTGCTAAACATTACAAATTGACAACCATTGATTTTCTGAGCAAATGGAATTATAATCCTTCTTTCCAAGTTACTACAGAAAGAAGCAAAAAAATTTAAAGCAAAATTAGGGGAAATAGTGAAGAGTCTTTCTTGGTCAATAAATCTCATGAGTCTAATCTACTGAATTCCAAATTAGAATCAAGCAATTTACCTGCTCTGTAAGTTCATTTTTCTCATATACTTACCCTAGAAAATTCCTTTCCTTTTTGTTTCTGAATTTTTTTACTTTTTGGGGTTGTTATTGATGTGTATGGACTGTAACCAATATATGTTTGTATGATTATATGAACTGGGCTTTTATGGTTCTTGAGTATTTTAGATTATTATGATGAAAATTGAAATATATAAGGAATTTTAGCTGTTTCTAATGGATGCTTTATTTTTTGGTTATTTTGTGTTTTATTTTCAGGGATTTAAAAACCTTTGAATTCTTAAAGATTGTGCTTTGGAGGCAGAAATGGAGATGAAAAAGTAACATCTATAATTCGAGGGAGATGAAGAATTAAAAAGTTGTGTGTTTTATGCATATGAGGTTTTTCTTTTGGGATTTCAGATGTGAATTTGTGATTTGTAGTTCAGAAGTTATAACAATATAGAGGATATGAGTTTGAGATAAATGATTTTGTAATTGGGAATTTTAGAGAATAGGTGATTTGAGGTGGACTTTAAGTGAATTGCTATATAATTAATCAACTATCAACACCTCCTGGGGAAGTCAATTTAATAAATTGGATTTAAGGGATAAAATAGTGTAGTAACTTATTTTGCATTTTTATCCTAGACGAAAAAGATGCAAAGAGTGCGAGTTTCATCAACCCAAGCTCCAGTGCACAAGCTTGGGGATTCCCAAATGACATTATCCCCGAAATTTAGGGTAGCTGCAACAAATTCCTCTTTGCTAGATCCTTTGCTAGAATTGAGACTATCTCTCAAGGGAGAGCCTTTAATTCCAGGACTTCCAGATGATGTCGCCCTCCAGTGCCTCCTTCGGCTACCAGTCAATGACCATTCAGTCTTCAGGCTTGTCTGTAAGCGTTGGTATTCCCTGTTTGGTAGCAAAGGACAGTTTTTTTCCCGGAGAAAGGAGCTCGGGTTTCATGATCCTTGGCTATTTGTTTTCGCCTTCCATAAATGTACTGGAAAAATTGAATGGAAAGTTCTTGACCTCACTCAGTTCTCTTGGCACACAATCCCTGCTATGCCTTGTAAAGATAAGGTCTGTCCACATGGGTTCGGGTTTGTTTCCATACCCCATGAGGGTGTTCTCTTTGTTTGTGGTGGTGTAGAATCTGATGTGGATGGCTCCCTTGATTTAGTATTGAAATACGAAATGTATACAAACCGTTGGATGGTGATGAAAAAGATGAGCACAGCAAGGTCGTTTTTTGCCAGTGGGGTGATCGATGGAATGATATATGTGGCTGGAGGGAACAGCTCAGAACTGTTTGAGCTTAACTCAGCTGAAGTCCTGGATCCTAATAGAGGTACATGGAGTCCTGTTGCGAACATGGGAACTAACATGGCGACATATGATACTGCAGTTCTTAATGGGAAGCTTCTCATGACAGAAGGGTGGTTTTGGCCCTTCTATGTTGTACCTCGGGGTCAGGTCTATGACCCGATAACTGATAACTGGGAGAATATGGCTACTGGTCTACGAGAAGGCTGGACGGGTTCAAGTGTCGTGATTTTGGGGCATTTGTTTGTGGTCTCCGAGCACGAGAGGACAAAATTGAAAGTCTATGATGCGAAGACTGATTCTTGGGATGCTGTAGACGGACCTCCTATACCTGAGCAGATATGCAAGCCTTTCTGTGTTAACAGCTGTGATCGCATGATCTATGTTGTCGGTCAGAACCTACACATTGCTGTGGGCCATATAACAAGAATGTTCTCTAGACACACTTTAGAAAGAAAGTCCCGCTTCTCTGTTCAATGGGAAGTAGTTGAGGCACCCGATACACTCTCTGACTTGATGCCATCACGCTCTCAGGTTCTGTTTGCTTAGAACTCCTTGGTTTATTTGGGATTCTGTTGTGTGCTTGTTTCTGCTGCTACAATAGTATTTATATGAGAATGTCAATATAGTAGAGAGATGATAAGATGTTGGAAGATTTTTGTTGCAAACATTGTACTCATTACATGGTTTCTGGAACCTAAATTGTATTCCTCGACTTTGTACTTGTATTAATTACATGGTTTTTATGTAATATGTTTTTTCAATACCAGATCACTTTGTATACTGAATTCCAGTAATGGGGACACCATTTCTGTTCCTTTTTGCTCGGTGTAAAAAGTTGTAGTTTTCTTGACATTTTTTAGAAAATTACTTGGATCGTCAAATGTTAACGTTAATTCATGAAAATTTATCACGTGATTAATCATCTAAGTAGGTAGTTCGATTGGTACAGACATAAGAAATTTTTTCCTAAATTGAGCCTATTTTTAGAATATGTTGTCTATCTATTATCAAATATGTTTATAGTATCTTGGAATCAATAACTAGTTTAGTTCTCAATTGGTCAGACCCTGGGTTTGCTCTCCAATGGTCACCAGTTTGAGTCCTCGAGGATAGTACCCGACCGTAAGTTTCAAGGCTCCGTGGGATTAGTCGAGGTGCGTGCAAGCTTGTCCGGACATTCACGGTTATCAAAAAAAAAAAAACTAGTTTAGTTATTTATAAAAGAAGATAAGAATTTTGAGGTTGACATTCTCACCATCAGCCACCTCAATAATATTTTTTTTTTCTTTTACAACTTGGTTTAGAAATGATGGTGATGAATGATGATAATGTGGTCGTGACACAAAAAACTTTTAACATGAAAAATAGGACCATTGAAAACTCCCGTTGTTGTCTTTCAACTCCAATTTGGTATATTTAAGTTTCAACGATTAGTTATTGATATTGTAAATGCCAATAAACAATGAAAGATTCTATTGCATTTTATTTATTTATTTATTTTTGTAGGGTTCTTTGAATCGGTGATGCTTTTTTACAAAAAATCATTTCTCCTAACCCATTCCATGATTCTTTTGATATGTATTGGATGTCAAAGTTTTGAAGTTACCTCAATCAAAGGATTTAAATGTCTGGTTAAATATGTCTACGGTTCTATTACATTTTCACTTTGTAATTTGGCCTTTGATGCCGTGACTGCATTGCGATAATTCGATTTCAGATTTTGTTAAAAGAACTGCCCTTTTTTTTGGCAGAAAATTGGCTAAATTGGTTGTCTTCTCTCGGCAGCGACTTAAGGAAAATTAATGCTAACTTGTCAAACATAAAAAAATTTAGTAACTGAACGTTAACTGAAACTTATCTAAAGAAACCTCAAACAGAAGATGATGGGCTACGAATCTAAGGACGGACTAGGGGTGAAAGGCTAATATACTTGTTCCAGTCGATCCAATATGAAGTTTCACTTCAATGGAGATATCTCAGAGTCCGAAGCATCTGTTTTTCAGAGTACAAACTGAATTTGAAAACATAATAACAAGGTATGCTTTACAGCAAGTGTACATCACGACAAAAAAATAACGGCTCTGAGTTTCTATACACAGTGAAACGGGGGATTGCATCGTTTCGCTTCTAGCCTCTTAGGGGGAAAAAACTCCCCAAAGTCATTTACCAGGAAACCTGTTGTTTCAAGCAAGGTAGTTGTATATTTGAGGGTTATTCTTGTCACGCTCCAGGTACTCCCTGTCTATCAGGCTCTCGATCCTTTTCTTCAAGTCAGCCGGTTTTATGGGGAACTTGAGCTGTGTAATCAAGATAACAAAACATTTACTCCAGTTTGAATAAATTATTCTTTTGCCCACAAAACAGTAAGCACGTTTGGCTAAAATTTAAAAAATGAGGTAAAATTTAATTTTATGTAACTTGTGGTTTCCCAACATATATGGATATGTTACTTTTTATTCTTCCTTTTAAGTAGAAAAAGTAACTCGTTTCGGAAGTAAACACTTCGATAAAAGTTTATATATTCAAATCACTTGTTTTGATACTTCTTTAATAATAGCCAAACATTCTCTCAAGTGCTTTCATTTCAATGTGGTAACAACTATTGATGGCCATGATTTTATCTTCGTCTTGTGTGCCCAAACACGGTCACATGCGATAACCAGATGAACTTGATCGCATGCAAGTAGGCCAGCTCCAAGCAAAGATTCATACATTCAAGTCAGACACCCAAGACAATAAGGGGACAAGAAATTCAGATACCTGCTGAAAAAGTTCAGTTATCAAGAGTGTGTGGCTCAACACTTTCCTCGTCTTCATAATCCGAACAATAGCAGCATCAACCTGCACAAATAATTGCAGCAGAAAATAAATTCAATTGCAAAAACAAACAGAGAATCTCAGATTTTCAAGAATATGGATGAACGTGGTAGAAGTAAACCTGGTATTGCCGGTCTTGGAACACCCTCTCAGTAGTGCTAGCATTCTCCTCAATTGTTTCCTTCATCTGAATGGCGTTTACCTGCTCACATCGAGAAAATGTTAGCTTCAAAAAAACAAGAACAAATAGCAAGCCAGTGATTCTAGTTATTCCTTTCTGGTCTTGATTTCACTGCTTCATTTGAAAAATGGATACACCTTTATACGATAGAGAGGAGCAGTAAATTGATCATTGAACACAAAGGAGTCATCATCATCCACATCTCTCCCCTTGGGAATCTGTAATGGAAATTAAATCTTTTCAACAGAGAAAAATCTCGAATTGAAGGAAATAATCTGTCAGGTAACGATCACTTACTTTCTGAAGAACACGGACTTTTCCACATGCAAGTGATTGCAAAGTCCTCCTCAGCTCTTTATCCTCAATGCCAGTAGATTCCTTAATATCTTGAAAGCTAAGGTTTCGTGTATCGTTAAATAGCATCAACACAACCGTCTGGGGCAGTGAATGTACAGACAGAATCACTAACATGTTACAAAATTTAGACTTGTGGGAAGCATTATTAAAGTATAACCGGGGGAGAAAGCTATAACCAACAATGCATACGTAATTAACTGAAACCAACCTGAAATAGAGAAACAGCCAGCTCCTTTTTACCTTTCAGAAATTCTGCTTTCAGCACACAATAACCCAATGAATTGTGCCACATTAATCGCCTTCCACTGTGCTTGCTCAAGTAAAACTCCTTGAAAATATCCTGCATGGAGATCAGAAAACTACATAAAGTTAGTGTATGCAACTGTATGCATTGTGCCAAACCTAATTGTCACGAACTCCAGTTTGTGCCAAACCTGATATACATTGAGTTCGTGTGGCAGCCGAACATCCATGGGTGGATATGTTGGCCAGTATCTGCAGCCAATTAATCACACACATTTTATTCCTCAGAGAATCCTGTGATGAGAGGGAAAATATCGAAGCTTGAAAGCACTACAAAGTAATGAAAGATGACCAACTACCCTGTCGTTAAGACATGGACACTCATCTCGATTCCTGATGGTAGTTTTGTCCGAGCTTGGGATGATTGCTTGAATGATTCATTGATCTCTTTTGACAATTCAATGTCCTGAAGTATTGTGTTTTCCAACATCATTAAGCAAATGATTACACACTCTTACTAGCAGAATGATATAAAGAATGAAAGCCTGCTGCAAGTGAAACATTGTACTCCCACAATAATAATGTCCAAATTTGAAAAAGCTGGAGTCAAGTAAAACAATCAAATCTCATGGCCAAGAAGCCTCCTACACTTGAGAGTAGGATAAATCACTGTAAATCTCATGACAATGAGCAAAAGGTACACCTGAAGCTTGGTGTGATTTGAAGCAATAGGGACATTTCTTGGTAGAGTAAATAACTAAATACAAAACAAATTACATGCTTCACATGCTCAGCCAGAATAAATAATACACACCTTGAACATTCCTTCAAGTTTATTTGTAAACTGGCTGCCACACTCAGTTTTCAACTGCAATACCCATGTGAATTGTGTTGAGTGAGAATAGATGCAAACTTTTTCGTAGAGAAAGACTTGGAAAAGGCAAAAGGCACTTACCTTAGTAATCATGGACTTCTCTGCATCAATAGAGGCGCTTTTCCCCAACAGAAGCCTTTTTGCAAGATCTTTCTTATAGAACGCTTCAAATACATCCTTACCCTACATGAGTTTTAGAAAAAAAGCACGACTCCAAGAATTAGTTGTTGGGGAGAGAAATAGCATAATATCAGCAGCAAGGCTTGGCCCATACAGCTACCAAGCGTCCCTATATATCAGCTTTAAGTATAAATTCATCAATGTTACCTGTATAAACCTGAACAAAACCAAGACTTTATCAAGTATACCCTCAAGTTCCTCCTCTGAAATGCCCTTGTTTCCAGCACGAAGCTTCTCATCCACAAACTTTGCAATTAGCTCAGCAGGTCGGTTCTAATATAGAACACAATAATGTGCAGTAAGCTATGGTCATCAAGAACAAATGGACAGCAAAAGAATGATACTAAATTTATTTTGCTGATTTGAAACAAGAGAATAATTCAGGATTTTCATGAGCATTAGAATCACGAGGTAACATTTTATTACCCATGATATCCAATCAATAATAACTATCAATAATGGCCCTTCAGAGCACCTTCGTCCAACCATCACCACCAGAAAAGGAAAAAGAGAGGGTCAATAGACTGCGTTTAAGAGAAATTTTCAGAATTTAGTCTGCATTATTGAGATGTCCTGCTAAACTTAAAAGTAGGTCAGACTTAATTTTTTGTAAATTTTGTTTCCAAACATGTATGGTTATGCGTATATGTAAACTTTTCTTATCTTAGGTAAAAATAGTTTCTTATATTAACAGTTTGTCAAAATGGATAACTTATTTTTAAATTTAACCAAAACATACAGGCTCAAAAAGGTAATCAAATTTAAGTAAATTTCTAAGTTTTTCAAGCTTAGCCAAACATGCTCATAGTGCACTGATTTGCTTTCAGGAAAATGAAGAAAATTGACGTGATTGAGTATTAAAAGATATAGGATGATCAAGTAGAGAGTAATATATTTATTCCCCTGACAAGGGGACCAGAAGATGATCCTGATAGTGAAAAGTGTGGCCCCTTCACACTGAACAAACAGATATCAGAAGCTGCCAAGTGATGTAACTATCAAAGACTCTCTCTCTCTCTCTCATCAAGAGGAAGCAAGCAATCGAATAGAGGTAATCGGTAACTGTCTTGTTTGTGATTATATATAATGTACTTTGAGTGTGGACAACTAAAAGGAGGCAGGAAATCTAATTATGCCTTCTTCCAGCCATCTCAAAATAGTTCATCAAGAAACAGAGGGAGTCCTAGAAAGATTATTAAACACCAATATCACCTAACACGAGAAAACAAGCATCAGAGGCTTCTTAAATATGTATACCAAACAAAATTGTAATTACGACATGCTATGTGGTGGCTCTACACTTGAACCATATTTACCTTATAAATAAACAGTGAACGCACTTTGTACAAACATGTTACTTTCTGACTCTCATGATTTCATATTGTTTTATGTAAATCAGGATCTCCCAAAACCAATATCACCTTTTTGGTAAGTATGCTAACTCTATGGATTGCTTGTCCCCAAACCAGTGGTACCACTCAAAAATATAATTCACATCCACGACAAACAGAAAAGACAATGTCTAAGCATTTGAATACTGAAAAGTACGAGGCAAACTTAAATATCCTCTTCCTAATCAAGTCCATTGGATGATGAAGAACATTGATATAATATTAAGCCCTTGTTTGAGACCCATTTTTTTGGACAAAATGTATTTTGGAATAGTGATTTTTTTTGAAGGATGTGTAGTTACAAATTAGGGAAAAGTTTTGGATTTACATGTAAAATTATTTTATGGGAGAATGTGTGGTTGAAAATGAGTTCGGGGAAAAATGGAGGTCAAACAGGGGCTAAGATTACTGGTTTCATCTAATTGTTTCTTATATTTTTGTTTCAAGTATCCTATTATAATATAAAACTCAATAAAAAGATATGCATAGACCTTTTATGCTTTGAGCTCAGGGAAGATGTACTCTAGAGATTTTTCCAGAAGGAAATGGAGTTAGAAGACGCTCAGAACTACATGAGTACATGCTTTGACACAGGAGACAATCATACTTATCTAACTCCAGAGTTTTCTATTAAGTTAAAAGTAGAAAATCAAAGACAATTAAGCAACTAATGAAAGAAATGTACCTGACGAAGATTAATAAGATGCTCAAATGCATCCTTGATGGTATTGCTAAATGCCTCGTTCTTGAAAAAGCCTTCTTCCCATATCCTATCAAGAGATGCTTTAAATTCCAGTAAACTAGATACCATATCTTTGTCTTTTTCTTCATCCATGACCATGCCCTGCCCAGTTCTTCGGATGTACTGACTAAGGGCCTGCCTAAAAGATTCTAGGGCATTGATCCTGGAGTAAAGCGTATACATTCTCTGGAGATCCTCTATACGATTTCCATCCATCAACATGACGAAACCCTGGACAGAGAGTTGAGGAGTAAAATCACTTTGTATACGTAAACACAAGATTAGCTAGGGAAAACTGCTTAGTAATTGAAAAGTCATCCTCTAATAGGCACCTTATCAAGAATTGCAGATTTATGACGTTCAAGAAGTTGCTTTTCTGCAGTTGCTATTAATGGGTTTTTTGTACTAGCATCCAAATAGTGTAAGCATCTATCATGTTCTTCTTGCAACCTTATCTGCAAGAACATAGGCAGTCAAGTATATCAAAAACTAAAGTAATTCCGAATAGGTAATAACAACTGAATCTATATCTACCATTCTCTTCCAAAGAAAAATGATTGAACAGTGAAAAAGGGAAAAAATTAAAGGTTAATACTGCATAGAAAATCAAGACCTTTACATAAATGCAAGTGAAGGGAAAAGCAGAACAAAGACGCACCTCCACGTGTTTCAAGTAATCCGGAACATCTGACTGTTGTATGTATTTTACACCTTCAGCAGCATAAAATTCAGATGTACTTTCAAGGAAAGGCTTCTCAAAGCTTTCTGGGTATATTCCCAATGCAGTGAACATCTTCAAAAGATGGTTAAGAAGAGTTCTATCAACTGCTTCACCTAATCTGTAGGGGGGAGAAGAACAAAGAGACAGGAGAATGAAAAATATGATGGTAAGACAAGTATAGTAAACCCCATATTGAAAGCATGCCATTGTCTGACTTTGATCCGATAGAAGGTGCTAGTTCCTGCTGATATAGATAGGGGTGATGGATTTAGCAGTCACCAAAAGGCAAACTGCACATGGCTTGGGATAGTTTCGAGTGTTTTGGGAAGTTTAATCTTGAAGATGGTTACCAGTGTCACAAATTTTTCGGAAGATGAAGCCACAGAAAAAAATTCAATAGATTCAGAATCAGGATTCAAACAAGAACACGAACTTCATAGACAGATATGCTCTGTTAACTATTAACGGAAAAGGGGGGGAGAGAGAGAGGCATTGGAAGAGAGGTTAAGAAATCGTAAAGCCAGTTAGTGTTAAGAATTTAGAAGGAAACTTTTTTAGTAGAATACAGGACACTTTAGTTTTCTTGACTTCTTTTCCCAAGTGTCAATTTCTAGGGAATGCAGTGGAGTGGGTAGTATGCATGGTTTCCTTTACATGGGCGCACTAGCTCTGGCACTACTCATTGAAATGTTATAGTTATCAAAAGGAAAAAAGAAAATGCAATCACCAAGCTCTACTGAATTTCCATTTATACCACCGGATTAATCCGAAAATTTTTTTGAAATGCTATCACAAAAGCAATTTCAGTGTACTGCTTTGAACAGATATTGTAAAAGATTATTAGAGACATGTTCACTGTTGAATTACGAAATCTTATCTGTCCAGTGATACGTAACTTCACTAATCTGGTTGCTATCAACAGATCATGTGCATAAATTATTGTCATGTCATCGAGAATTTGGACATTACCTCTCACTCTCAATCATTTTCAGAAGACCAAATACAGTTTTGTGCTCCACTTCCGAAGCTAAAGAAAGATGTTTGCGGAAAAGCTGCAAACCCATGTCCCACAATGACTGCACATTCGGGGTTTGTTTCACGTATGTTCGATCAAGATATAATGCTATACCACGAATCATCAACATCTGATCACAAAAGTCGTGCCACCACTTCTGAACAAGTGATAAAAAAACCACAAGATCTTGACTTTGGCCAACCAAAGATTGCAGTGCAGCAGATATGTATGATTCACACTCCTTTTCAATCCGACGATAGAGACTACCACCCATTTTGTGCAGGCAGAGGTCATTGACCGCCTAATATGATAAAGAAGGTCAATTAATGTGTAACAGCCGCGGTTTATGAAAGAAGATGAAACATTTAACTAACCTGATAGAGCTTCTCCAAGTCGCATGGATCTGGCTGTTTTAAGAATATGGCACTGATAGCTGACTTAAGTGTTGCCCACGTATTTTCTTCAAAATCAGTTGGCAGCATCGGCTTGGCTACAGACAAATAGTGGAATTGGTCATTTGAAAATAAACGTTCAATACCTGTACTAATATGGCTTCAACCTATAACATTCCCAGAGGATAATGTTTAGCATCACTGCTTCATATTTTGCAATTACTGGTAACTGTTAAACGTTTGCACATTATCTTAATAGCTTTTCTCTTTTTGGTTTCACTTCAAAGCATCTAATGCAATACAGAGTAAGCCAAGAAAATTGAAGTATTTCTACAGCATGATCTGGCTCTTTAATCAAATAGATTGTGCTCAATTTGAACTACAAACTCCTCTACCTAGAATATATCATGCATAAGGACCAATCTTGCAATTTCTACAGCACAAGTTCACAGCAATTGAAATGTGCATGGATGAATATCTTTAGATTATTCAATATATTCGTAAAGCCCTTATTCGCCTTCATTTCCTTTTTTTTCCATCCTCTCGTTAATTGAAAGCTTTGCTGAAATGACCCTTTATAAACCATGAGTTATTCAACTTCCAAACTCTTCAAGCATTGTGAACACTGTTAATGTAGCATTCTTGACGCACAACATACATTTCAAAAATTCGCAATAGAGGAAAAAACTTGTTGTAATGTAAGCCTAATAAATACACGTCACAAGTCTTTTTTTTTTTTTTTCAGAAATCAATCTTCCATTTTAATTGATGTATGTTTCATTCTTTGTCGGTAAAAAGATAAACTGACTGTGTTACTGGAAACAATTTCAAGGATGTAGGGGGAGGGAGGCTTTTCATCAGGCTATATATAGCAACTTGAATGCATAAGGAATTTTTGTTTAGCTGAGGTATAGAAAATGGAAACTCAAAATGCATGGTCTTCAGCTAAGATCTTGCCAGAACTCTATCCAGAGATCGTCTAAACATAGTCGTCTAAGTTTTCAGTTCATCTTAGAGCAAAGATTCACTGACCATTCATCAGTGCAGCATCAAATAAAATTGAATTAACTGATTACAATGTGACCCTCAAAAAATAATTCAAAAGTTCAGGCTTTAATTCATGTAGGACACATATACTGCTAAAGTCTTGGCTTTAGCACTAATGTTCACCAAGTGGTAAATACAGCACCCAAAATCGGTTTTAAATGGTTGCAAATGATTATCCTTCAACTGTCTTGGGACATACTAGTCAAATTCCACTCTTGAAAAATCAATGGTTTCTAAAAAAATCTATCAAAAATAAACCAAAAAGTTATATGTATCAAGATTCAAAACTCAATTAAACATTTCTAATTTTCCTTAAAAGTTATTCATCCAAAAATGAAATCAAATAAAAAAGGGATTCAAATAATGACTGCATTTCAGCTTAAAAGACCAGATTTTACACTGAATTATTCATCGAATCGGAAGTGAAAAACCTATGTTTCTAGAAAATGATAAGAAAAAAAAAAAAAGATCCTAGTATCCTATAAAAACTTCCGATCCCATTAAAATCAACCAATAAAACACATAAGATTTAGTCTAATATAGCGCTCAATTCCGGCTTTAACAACTTCAAATTTTGCTTCCAAATTAACCAATCAAATACTCAAAACCCTATTATATCCCGCCTACACCAGCAAGCAACTTTATACATTGGCAATAAAAATCCTCAATCTTCCCACAAACATTAAAAAAAAATAAAAAAAATTAGTGCGAAATTTAAACCTTTAACGAGCTTAATGACGAGCTTTTTCGCAGGTTGAGGAGGCGTTGCTTTTTTCCTCGCCAAATTCGCGGTGACTCCACCACCACCACCAACTCCTCTGCCAAAAGAATTAGACGAAGCAGACGCATCCAAAACGGCATCATTTGAATCGTCATCAATCATTGAAGAATTAGCGGAAGGATCGAAGTGAACATGAGGTACACTCTGTTGGCCATTCTTGTTGTCGAGCGAATAAGCTAGCGCCTGCGACTTGGCCTTCTTCATTGCCGGTGAAATTGGGGCTCCGCCGTCGCCCGTGGTGGTGGTGGTGGAGGAGGAGGAATAAGGGGAGGAGCGCTTACTGGAATTGGACGAAGTGGTGGGCTGAGACATAGAAATGTTTTTAAGAAAATTTCATTGCATTTGTTTTGTAACAGAGAAAAAGAGAAATAGCAAATTCTAGAGAGAGTGGGAGTAACGCTCATGTCATCACGATTTTTAATTTTATTTTGTGTAATTCGTTTTCGGTTATGATATTGGGCCTTGATCTCACTTATTTATTATCTAGGAAAATTGACATAAATGGCACTAATTCATTTACTATTTCTACACGTGTTCTTTTCTATTTTTTTCCTAGATTAAAATTTTATTAAAAAAAATTAAAACTTCTTCTGTTAAGTTCAAAAAAAGTAAAGTTGCTTTCAACTACTTTCCATCTACAAACTATTTGGATAACTTACTTTTCTTTTACTTTTATGTATTAAAAAGTACACTTATATATAAAAAAAAAAATTTATTTATCTACAAATACGTTTTGGTGAATTATTTCCTCTTTGCTTTTAAGTAAAAAATTTATTTCCTTCTGAATGGGTCGTCTAGTACTTTCTTTGATTGATGATGTACTTACGTAATTTTTATGAAAATAAACCTACTTTTTGTTTATTAACATTCCCACTTTCGTGGAAAAAATTATAGTTATTCGAGAGCAATCAAGAAGAAGAATGAGAGCAATGCGACTCTTATTTGATTAGTTCATCGGAAGATATGTCATATGTATTGTGTCACATAGTAAACACTAAAAAAAGGTGGACCAAACAAAATTATTATCAAGTTTTCAATTTTGAAAATTCAAAGTATGAATTTTCATTGGAGTAAAATGCTTATGCCACGTGTCCTACAATGGAATGAATTTGCCACGTTCAATTACAATACCAAAAATGCCCCTTCCTTATTTGCTGTTGGTTAAATATGCATTCATTGACAATTCAAAGTCAAGGGTAAAAGCGAATAAAAATTATGAGGACATATAGAGTTGGTCAAAGATCAAATTAGGCATTGGCCACTGTTGATTAATATTTCATTCAAATTTTGAATTTCCAAAAGTTGAGAACTTGTTGAGTATCTGCTAAATAAAAGCATCAAACAAGGTTACAAGGGGTAAATATAATTGACTTTTTCAAATATTTTGTTTATTTAATTATATAAATTTATCACATAAATAATATTAGCAACTCATTCTTGCCATTCGCGTCTAATTTATAACATATCCCACTTTTCATTTCCTCAACTTGCTTATCTTATAATAGCAGTACTGCAATTTGCAACATACGATTCTTGTTAATTAAGAGATGTTATAACTTCTTTTTCTTGACATATGCTTCTACCTTTACATAAAAAAGAATGCTTTTAATAAAAGCATTTTCTTTTCACACACACCCTTCTTTATAATATCTATCTATCTAATCTTAATCAAACTCGTCCAAATCCTTTTCTTTTGCTTTACATATGTAAAAGGGAAGAGATTGGATTGACCGGCTATCAAGATATGGATGCTCCTCCAATAAAAAAAAATTACTACGAAGAAACAATATTGAGAGGTTGTCTATACGATGTGTCCGTCGAGTACTCTCAAAACTAAAGCAAATATCCAAGGAATATTGTTCGTTGTTATCGATAATTTCCACGGTTCATCAAATTTTCGATGATTATTATTAAGATGGTGACAATTTGACCATCATTGATAGAAATTCCCATTGATCAACCTATTTTCTATAATGTCTACGTCCCAATTTTTAAACTCCTTTCTTCAAACTCATTTTTAATCATACATTTTATGGAAATCATAACTTGTATAAACTTTTCAACCATCTATTTTATTATTTTTTATCAAATCTACTAAAAATCTGATTTTCAGTCAAACCGAATCGTGGTTAAATAACAATATTTGGTTGGCCGAGTTTGAAAATCACTAGGATACTATATTAATGGGATGATGACAGTTAGTGGCTTGTCCAATGTCCTTTTCTGACGCGAGCCTTCTTTTTTATGCCTTTGCTAAGCTCATAACATGCATGGCTAGCATTGTTTCACATGAACTTCAAGGGGATAACTTAATGCAACTTGCCTTAATTTGATGATCACAGGATATATTAATATAACCATTTAGTGGGATTAATTGGAAGGAAATGTCAATGATTCAACTGCGTGACCAATACAAATATTTGACCCTATTTTAATTTATTTTTAATACTTATCAGTATTGATGCCTCTACTTACAAACAGGGGCGGACCCAAAACCAAAAAAACTTTGGAAAAAAATCTGAACAAAAAAGTTTAAAAAATCTGAAGAAAAATCGGAACATCTGAAAATTGAGTGGGGGCGACGGCCTCCACTGGTCCTCAAGTAGGTCCGCCCCTGCTTTCAAATTAATATGCCATGAGTGAAGAAAGCATAAAAGTCTCTTGTTATAGTTGTTAAGAGGAAGGGAAAAAAACAAAACCACAGTTTATATGAAAATTGAATATAGATTCCTTTTAACTAGCTTAAGAATTAAGATGATTCTCTCTAACTCACAATATGACACTGATGTTCAGGTAAATTTTGTGTGATGAGTTTCTTCAATTCTCCCCTAGAAGAACTGAATATTTGCCCCTTTTGCTGTGATTTAAAAGAGAGATGCTAAAGTCATGAGATTAGATCCCAGCTCAAACCAAATGGCGCCCCCTATTGGAGGAGGGGGGGGGGGGGCACCCTCCAATAAAACGGCGCCCCTATTTATGCCTCGGTCATTGAGCCGAGGTATAAAGCAAGACTCTTTTGTGAAAGCTTGAAAATCATAGCTTGTATTTTTTGACTGTGACGAGCAATTATACAACAGTANATAAAAATGTAAGTCAAAATCAACAATTAATTGTAATCATACATTTCATTAATTTATATCAAAATCTTCTAAAAATTTTGATTTTTAACTAATAGGAGCTTTATGCATATATCTTGCTTTCTGTATGGAGTGAAAGTCCATTATGGAGTGAAAAATGATGCAAGTACATGAAGAAAATGACAGATTTTTTTCATAATTTTAAATTTCTCTCACATGAGGAGGCGGGGATCACATGAATTAAATATTGTTAAAAACAATGAGACTCACGTGTTGTGTGTATTCTGTCAATTTTCTATGAAAAAATTCTCTGTACCCATAACATCATTATTATGAAGTTAAGCCTCATCTATAGAGCTTCATAATGGCCATGCTCATTTGTAAGTGACAGCTGAAGCCAATTTGCCTATATCTATATCCCTCAATCGAGGTCCACCTAATCGAGTTGCAACATCCTTCATCTATGTTGACCGAGTACATCAATTCGAGAGGATTTGCTACCGCCACCATTAGACCCGTGCTTGAGAGTTAATCAAATGATTGCTCGTTGATTCCCTAGACTGACATAATGCTTCATGGGACACGTTAGAATATCTCCTCAGCTCACGTTCTTCATACCTCAGCTTACAGCACTCCTTATTCTAGCTCCTTCTAGTTTTTTCTTTAGTTTGTTATTAGTTGTTGGTTTATTAGAATTTAGTCCAGCTCTCATCAATTCTAAATATTTCCATGTAGTGATTAGTTGATAGATTAGTTAGCTATTTTTCTCTATAAATAGACTAGTATGCATTGTAATTTCTCAAGTTAAATGACTGAAATATTCTTCTTCTTTCCTGTCATTTACAGTAGGTTCTATCTTTTTATTTTCTTAATATAGTATCAGAGTGCAATGGCTTCCGTTCCAGCAGCTATCTTCTTCTTCTTTGATAAAGCTTCCTTGCATCTCCATGGCAGAAGCTGAATTCCTGAGCCTCGTGTTTTAATTCCTGCATTTACAGCAAGAACGAAGGATGTCCTCAGTTGTCTTCATCAATGAGCTATTCCGCCATTGATTGTTCAAGGTCTGGATCTCTATTCTGAGCAGAACTCCTTCTACTATTTTCTTTACTCACAGGAGATATTCTGGTCGTTCCCATCAAAGGTTCTTTCGAAGAATTGAGGATAAGAAAGTAAAGGCACCAGCACTTTCTGGAACATCTACCACCCTTATTGAGCGTGTGAAACTATTGATCCAAAACCAAGATGAAATGATTAAGGTTGGCAGATTATTTTCAGCCTTTAAAATGCTCCTGGCTTCTTCTCGCACCTGTCAGCACAAGAGGCACTTTGATAAGGCCCTATCTTCAAATGTTCAGTGGTTGGGCGTGTCAAGTGACAAAGGTACTGTCCACATATTCAGTCTCAAAGTGCGGGTAGTTGGTGATGACCTGTCAACTGAGGTCACTGGTATTGGTGGTTTAAGCATTATACCATCAAGGGCCCCCAGGCATAGTTTGTGATATGATGTCTGCAGATTTTCTTCCACCGTTTTGCCTAAATGTTTGTTCCTTTCTCCAAGATCAAGATGGTCCATCTTGAGGGAAGAGTGTTAGAATATCTCCTCAGCTCACGTTCTTCATTCCTCAGCTAGCTCACGTTCTTCATGCCTTAGCTTACAGTACTCCTTATTCTAGCTCCTTCTAGTTTCTTCTTTAGTTTGTTATTAGTTGTTGGTTTGTTAGAATTTAGTTCAGCTCATCAATTCTAGAGGCTTTCATGTAGTGATTAGTTGATAGATTAGTTAGCTATTTTTCTTTATAAATAGACTAGTATGCATTGTAATTTCTCAAGTTGAATGAATGAAATATTCTTCTTCTTCCCTCCCATTTACAGCAGGTTCTATCCTTTTATTTTCTCAATAGGACAAGTGTTTACCCCCACATTCTGCATCATCGAAGCTTAAAAATTCAAATAATTCGTCTAAAATTTAAATGAGCTAACGCACTTTAAAATTGATATTTTCATACGGGTCACTAGCTGGCCATTTAAATATGAAATCCCAGCTGCAAACACCTATATATCTTACTTTCCACATCTTTTCATTCCCCACTCTCAAACGTGAACTCGTATACACACCATGGAAACATTTCAAAGCAGGATTTCTACCTTGTATATTTTTCTCAGATTGTTTCTAACTTTATCAGGTGAATATATCCCTTTATCTTTCTATATTTTGCACAGCATTATTAGTAATTATCTCTTTGAATCTGAACAGGTTTCAAAAGAGAAGTAGAATCACTCGGCATTAATTATGGTCAAGTCGGCAACAATTTACCCCCACCGGATAAAGTTCTTGATCTCTTGCAATCCCTTAACCTCACAAAAGCCAGAATTTACGACACAAATCCTCAAATTCTAATGTCATTTGCAAACTCCAACATTGAAATCATAGTAACAGTTGAAAACGAAATGCTATCCACATTAATGGATCCACAAGCAGCACTACAATGGGTATCTGTACACATAAAGCCTTATTTTCCGGGAACAAGAATCACCGGAATCGCTGTCGGAAACGAGGTTTTCACTGGCGACGACACGGCACTAATGGCTTACCTCGTACCAGCCATGGTCAGCATTCACGCTGCATTAGTCCGATTAGGATTTGATCAGTACATTCAAGTTTCGACCCCAAAATCTTTATCAGTGCTATCAGAATCATACCCGCCCTCAGCAGGATGTTTCCGGCAAGACCTTAACGGAATAATGCTGGAATTTTTACAGTTTTTAGCAACAACAAAAGCGCCATTTTGGATCAACGCTTACCCTTATTTTGCTTACAAAAACGATCCAAATGGCGTTTCTATAGACTATGTACTGTTCAACCCTAATTCAGGCATGATTGATCCTTACACCAATCTACACTACGATAACATGCTATATGCTCAAGTGGATGCAGTAATATTTGCAATTGAGAAAATGGGTTTTGGCGGGTTAGAAGTCGGGGTGTCGGAAACCGGCTGGCCGTCCAAAGGTGACCCTGATGAGAGCGGGGCCACCGTGGAGAATGCAGCGATTTATAACCGAAATTTGCTGAAAAGACAGGTGAAAAATGATGGGACTCCCTTAAGGCCGAAAATGAGACTTGAAATATATGTTTTTGCTTTGTTTAATGAAGACATGAAGCCTGGACAGACTTCAGAGAGGAATTATGGTTTATTTCAACCTGATGGAACCATGGCATACAACGTAGGACTCGATACATTGTCAACTACTTCATCAAATCCCTCGGCTTCGATTTCACAAGATTCCAGTGGCACCCAGGTAAAGCCATAGATCTCTTTTTCTGTCGCTGTTATACTAGGTTGCATGAACATGAAAAAGAATTTAAAACGGTTTTTAAAGAAAAGAATTTCAAATGATCCACCAGTGGAGTATTTATTAATACAAAAGAAATATTAAACTTCAATTAGAGGGGGACATAGGACAAAATCTCCCGGTGAAAGAAAAACAGTAATAAATTTTACCTGTCCAACTGACTCGAATATAATGAATTTTTTATAATTTTTTGTTAAAAAATATATATAAAGCTTCTTAAGGTCAAAAAATTGAAAAACCGATTTCATTGAAATTCCAATTTTTTTTCTTGAATTTGTTCAAAATATTTATTTCCAAAACGTGTACCAAACCAAAACGCTAGCATTTTTAGAAGTTTTCGTGCAACTTATGAATTGTGAGCTTCTATGCTCAACTCAACTATAGATAGGATAAATAACAATTTTTCTTGCATGGATGTCTCTCTTTATCAATATTGTCTGGCTGTGCTTGTCCAGAATGTGTATTTATAATGTCACTCCAGATAATGCCAATCCTACGTTTGCAGCATCCAAAACTTACTTTTATTTGTGGCACTTTATTGTGAAACAGGTAAAACAAAGGGGATACAAAAGACTCCTTTACTCTATATTTCTATATTTGCTGGCTTTCCAACTTTTCATGACAAGGGCAGTGCTAAGCAACTTGTAAACATCACTTTTTTTGGCGCGAGCAATGGATCCTTCTTTTGGTCCTTTTGGCACTTCACGCACAAACATTTTCCAATTGACACACACACACCAAACGTTTCTAAAGCGTGTTTTTCTTTATTTATATTTTCCCGTTTCATTTATCATCTCCCTAAGTGCTGAAGACAAACGTAAATACGGAGATAATAGAATCAGACAATCTTTTGATTTTAAGATTCTTGAATGCTATCAATCTATGGACATGCAATGGACAGCTAGCTTGCCGAATTGATGAAAGAAAACAAAAGTGATTCCCGTGTTAGCTTGCACAAAAAGGGAGCAACTCAAACTGTGAAAAGGAGAGTATGGGAGCAATATGAGATTGATCAGACATGAAAGATTAGCCCTATCATTTAATTTCTAGTAGTAGAAAGTTTAGCCTAAATATTTAATTTCTAGCAACGTAACCGATAAAATTTGTTGTCCCAATGTCAGATGAGATAGATTGTCCTTTCTCTTTGTAAACCATGTAAAAATTTAAATATAGAAATGAAGGAAAGAGTTATTGTTCTTGCTCAATTGGTTGCAAGAGAAATAAAGATCTATGCTTTTGGACGTGGATACCACAAACTCTTCAATATAAAAATCAATTCTTAACTAGTTAGAAGGTGCTTTCGTTCTGCAATCACTCTCCTTCATGCAGTATATTTCAAAAGGAATTCATAAAAGAAATAAGATAATGGCAATCAAGTTGCAAAAGGCTAGGGTTAATTTGTTTGGTTCACTTTTCTTTTTATCTTGAAACAGAGAGTGGACGGTTTGGCTTTATTATCTGGCCATAACTGATCACATAGTGGTCGGCTAGTGCAATCTTTTTATTATACAAAACTGATCAAGATTTAAACAGATCGAAGAATATTTCAAAATATTACAAACTCGAAATCCAACCACTTGACATCAAAATTTCAATCAACCTTAGGCTTAAAATATTATACACAACTGTATGAACCATAGAGACCTCTGTTTCATCCAAAAACCCTCACAACAAACTAGGAAAGTTGCAACCACTTCTATGAACCAGAAGAACTCAACTCTACCACAGTCGATTCACACTCCCTCAGAAGAAAAACACTCAAGGTTTTGATTTCACTAAGAAAACACAAAGATTCATCCAACCAAAAAAGGAAGATGATGGGAGATGAACAAAGATTACACAAAGAACTCTCTCGAAGAAACTCTCACACAGGAGGAAAGACCGAATGAATTAGGGTCCAAAACCACTCACACCATATTTATCCAGCCTCGCCATAGATCAAAGGAGAGATCAATGACTTAGAGCGACTTGCAACTTATCTCACACCAGGGTAACTAAAGTCGCACAACTGAAAATGCTAGATAGACGTGAAACTTGCTATCGAGCTGGGTTTCATTGAGCCTCTTCAAATGATGTTATTGGACAATAGTAAATCTTTGAGCCAAGCCATTTTCATCACAACCAGAGCCGGACTTGAGGATAGGCACAAGAGGCGGCCGCCTCAGCCCAGGATATCTGAGGGCCCATTTTCTTTGGGCTTTTTTTTTTTAATTTATATAATAAAATGTCAAAACACAGCCTGCACTCCCCGTTTCTCCACTTCCGTGCGCCGTTTCCTCCTCGCCTCCACCGTGTCTCCGCCCGTCCGACAGTCAGCTCGAGCCTCTGCCGTCCGTCGTGACTCGTGAGGGAGAAAATAGAAAGAAAACATTGCTCTGAACTGAACTATTACGGCATTACCAAACCAGCCAACCTCGTCCTGTGACTCCTATCGTCTCGTCTTCTCCGTCCGGCGTCCAGCGTGACAGGGTCCTCTCCGAGTCTCCGCCTCCGGGCCTTTGATTATTGAGTAAGTATTAGGTTTTATTGTATTTTTTACATAGCCAGATGTTGAGTGACTTGAGTCATTTAGAGTCCGAGTTGAGAGACACATTCACGGACTCATAGTAATTTGATTTCTTCAGTTCTTCTCCTCGAATCTCAAATTCTCGATTAACCATTGAATTTGATTTAATCATTTTAATCTTTGATTTACAGAACTACAGAAGGTCTGAGACTCTGAATGTGCCACTTCAAACCGGTTTAGATGTATTTTGTTGAGGAGTATCCGGCCGTCCGGGTATGTTTCTAACTTTCTCGATTCCAGAGACCAGAGATTCTTGTTGTTGTTTCTAACTTTAATAGTTTACTGTATGTTGTTTTGTGATTGAGAATTTGAGTATGGATATTGGATGATGGATGTATGATGAACTGATTACGGATGATAGGGGTTGAACCGTTGAAGTTTGAAATGGGATTTTATTAATTGAATATGTGATAATGTGATTGAATATGTGATAATGTGATAGCGACGCTTTACTTGACTTGGCAAACATTACTGAAGATGCTAAAACGAAGAGTGAAGCTGAATCCTTAGCAACATATGAACTTGAGAATTTTGAGTTCTTGCTTGGCATGGTCATTTGGTATAAGTTATTGTATGCTATCAATACCGTGAGTAAATTTTTTCAAGCTGAAAAAATGGATATTGATGAAGCCATCAAGCTTTTAGGAGCGCTTATTTTGTTTCTCGAAAATTATAGAGAATTTGAATTTGCTAGTGCCATGGATGAAGCTAAACAAATGGCAATTGAAATGGGCATTGAAGCTGTTTTTCGAGAGAAACGTAGCATTCGAAAAAAGAGGCATTTTGATGAAAGTGGTAGTGAAGAGGTAACACAATCGGCTGAAGAATCTTTTCGAGTTGATTATTTTCTCTTTATAATTGATCAAACTAGATCTTCACTTCAAACTCGCTTTGAACAATTTAAACATTATGAAGAGACATTTGGATTCTTGTTTAATTTGGAAAGGTTAAAAAGTATGCATTTTGATAGTTAGTTGAAATCTTGTATGAATTTTGAGCAATATCTGAACCATAATGGACATTCAGACATTATTGGTGATGACTTCTGTACGGAATTGTTAGTTTTGAAGTGCTATTTACCTGAAGAAACAAAAAGAGCTATTGATGTGCTAAATTACTTGAAGAAAATGGATGGTTGTTTTCCAAATGCTAGCATTGCTTACAAGATTTTGCTCACTATACCAGTTACAGTTGCATCAACAGAAAGAAGCTTCTCCAAGTTGAAATTGATCAAGACTTATCTCCGTTCAACTATGTCGCAAGAAAGACTGAATGGATTGGCCATGTTATCCATTAAAAAAGAAATGGTTGAACAACTCGACTATACAAAATTGATTGATATTTTTGCCTTGAAAACTGCAAGACAAGTTATATTTAAGTGATCGATTAGAACATCTTCGTATTGTTACTTGATTGCAAAATAAATATTTTGAATATTTTAGTTTTATTTGTTGCTTTATTGTTGAAGTTAACAAATTTCGTTCCGTAATACTCTTTTAAAAGAAAAATGGGATTGTCTTTTATGACTTGGAGGGCCCAAATTTTAAAGTTCGCCTCAGGCCCCGCGAAACACAGGTACGGCCCTGATCACAGCCTAAACAAATGGATTGGATCTGGCATCACAATCCAATTGATCTCCACCTTGATGCCAGTGGTAATGCAGGTAGCTTATTGCTCAATCTAGTTATCTAACAAGGTAGCCACAACTTCCAAGCATCACTAGGACTGCACCAAGTTTTAGAACGTGTACCAATTAAAGCTTAAACAACATCAATATTTAAGATATTGTATCCATCTGTATCAACATAGAGACCCCAGATTCACCCAAAAACCCTCACAATGAACCAGGCAAGTTGCAGTCACTTCTATGAACCAGCAAAAGTTAACTTTGCCACAGTCGATTCACACTTCCTTCGAAGAAGAACACTCAGGCTTCCGATTTCACTAAGAAAACTTGAAGATTCATCCAACTAGAAAAGGAAGATGAAGGGAGATGAACAAGGATTACACCAAGAACTCTCTCTCGAAGAAAACTCTCACACGGAAGGAGAAAAGACCGAATGAATTAGGGTTCAAAACCACTCACACCATATCTATCCAGCCACACCATTAATCAAATAAGGCTCGGAGCAACTTGCAACTTGTCTCACACCAGGGTAACTAAAATCACACAATCGAAAATGTGAGATAGACCTGGACCTTGCTATTGGTTTCACTAGGCATCTTGAGATGATATTATTGAGCAATAGTAAATCTTTGGTCCAAGCCCTTTTCATCACAGCCTAGTCAAATGGATTGGATTTGGCATCACAATCCAACACTTTTCTTCAAAGAAGCTTTAGAATTTCTGCATAGAGAACGCGGGAATGGTAAACGAAAGAAGCTTTATCAAACATTTATTTTGAGTTGATCGCTAGAGGGTCTTCAAGACCTTCTTGGGTTCCAAATGTCCATCTTTGCAATCATATCTATAAGAGCAAAAACAAAGGAGAACAATGGAAGAGCATTACATTGGATCAATCATTGTCACGTCCTGCCTACTGCTCGGACACAATTCATTATGCCCATGTTTGACATCATTTACTTTAATTTATTTCTTATACTTATTTTCAATCACGCATTTACACGATAAAATATTTTACACGTAAACTTAAATTTTTTTTCTACTTTTTAACCGTACATTCTCTAACAAATACTATTCAAAACAATGCTTTTAAAATTTTATGGATTCATGGGCTAAGTCTTCCATATTTTTAGCAAAATTAAAGTATGTTCCATTAACTTTTATGAAAACTGTATGGCGTTCTTTTCCATCTAATTTATTTAAATTTATTGATAATAAGTAAATGTTAATAATTTATAATACAATTAAAATGTAATAAACGTGTGGTATCAATATAGTAATGATTTTAATTAAAGGTAGATTAATGGAATAACTTTGACTCTAACCTTGTTTAAGGATAACAATTAGCCTTTATTTTGCACATTTTGTAAGCCATATATTATCTCCTCTAAGTAAACAAGGTTCCTCCACCTATATTTGGTACGTAATATTATATAGAACTCAACAGTGTATAATAAATAATATTTAAACTTCTTTAACAAATAATAAATGCACAAAAGTGTAGGGTGGCGTCGTGGCAGTGTTGAAAATTAAGCAATTGTGCCCATCAATGTCAATCCCATCAATGTTGACTTTATTAGGTGTAGTTGGGCCAATTTGACCTTATTAGTCTGAATTCAATTATACCTCAACAAGCTATATTTTACAACTAGATGTTACGTTAGGACAATCTAAATTTAACCATAGTCAAGAGGAAAATAATTTGGATTATCAATTAAGGCCGAGGTAATGAATTAGAGACTATCATTAAATTACATCGTAGTTAGTTTACGAGTCAAGCATGTAATACGGCTCAAAAAATTTGTGTGGGTAAAGGTACTCTATGAATTACACGAAGTACACTGAAAATCACAAAATGAGTTTGTTTAGCTTGTACCACTAACCCAAATTGTACATAGTCGGGGACAAAATATAACTTTTTTCTTTTTCATGGACATTTTTATTCAATCCAACTTATCAGGCATATCATTATTGCATGGTTATAATACATGAACACTTCAAAAGGAAATACATCCATTATACAAAGAAAAAAGAATTATGTTGGCGATTTTTCTCTTAATTTACAGGCTTTGAGATGGCCACACACGTTTACGATATTCTCCGAGTGCCCACAATGGGAAAATGTTCCTGTATTGTGCATAATGTAACATGCAATTCTTCATGTATACTCCAGTAATTTCCTGTAATGAAAAATTCGTTTCCATTACTTATGAAGAATAATTATTAGAAAATTTTAGCTAAGTTTAGTGATGCAATTTAATTAATTATTATTTACCTGTTGAGGGAAATCTCCATCATCCATTTGGGCATTAATCAACAACTTTGCTGCTTTATGTAAAGGTGTTGGATCCCTCTCCGCCTAATTTTATTAGAAAAGAGGGAAAAGTTAAGCATGACTTAATAATGTAAATTCTTAGACCCAACACGGCCTGTGATGGACGTAACGTCCACGTCACATAACCTTCACGAGTCAGATCATGTTTTTCAAGTATCAGATTGTCTCAACGTAAATGCAAAAAATAATGATTCGACACATTTTGACACTTTATGATAGAAAGCATATAAGTTCAAAATTTTGAACTAACCTGTCCACCATACATAAGACCTAGCATGGCCCACGATGTTTGTACCAAATTTGTTCTATTTCCTTCCAAAGGTGTGTATTTCTGTCACACAATCATCAAATATGAGTAATTTTTAGTTAAAAGGAGAAGGTTAGAAGAATTTCTTGTAGAGTCTAAAGGGTATATGCTTACCATGCTTGGACATGATTCAAGGCATTCTCCCCATCCACCTTCTTCATTTTGTGTTGATAGGAAAAAGTTGACACCTTTACGAACTGCTTCAGAGTTTTCATAAGTCTTCCCTGCAGCAGACATTCCTCCAAGCACAAAAAATGTTCCATACAGAAAGCAAATCCCCCAATAGCCATACCTGTCAAGTGTATATATTTCTAGTTAGATCGAGAAATATTCATTGTGCAATTTTATTAAGGATACCACAAACCAAACATATACCAGACATAAATCGACTCACCATGAACCATCGGGCCATTGTCTTCCTTCAAGAAAGGGTATTGCTTTTGCGACGGAAATTTCAATTTCCTTCTCCCTGTGACCTGGATGTAGACGCTTGAATGCCAAAAGAGCCTGGACTATTGAAGCAGTGCATTCAACGTGCCTGAAACCACCAATTAAATCAATTATCAATGTCATATTTATTGTCAAATTATGGTGTCAGTATTTGAAGAATAAAAGATAGAAATAGTGTGTGAAAAAAGGAAAGGGCTAATGTTTCTTACTCTGATTCGACTACTATGTCTGCAAAAAGTTCTGAAGGATTCAACATCTGAAAATGAACAAGATTTTAACTTATTTTTTCTTGAATAATGCATTCGAGTAATATTTCAACTCAGCATGGCAAACATGTTACCTGCAAATATGGCTGTGGAACTGGGGGCTCCCAAATAGCAAATCCACCACTTTCAGGACTCTGAAAGATATATAAGCACATAATCAGTCACGATTACATAGGACGAGAAAGTAAATGAACTAGATTTACTTATTTTTGTTTTTCAATATTGTTCAATGATGTTAAGTACTATATATCAAACATGCTCAAAACAACTTGGACCTAAGATTCGAAGAATTCAATGAAATTCATACTTGCAGATATAGGAGGACATTCACAGCCTCGTACAAGCGCTCAACATCAGCTTTTTCTCCAGCAATTTCTGTGGGCATTTGTGAGAGTAAAAGGAGACACTGCATTGTAAAATTCAGGCAGGTTTAATCAGTTAAAACTTATTTTTGCTATATTTATGTGAATTTGTTGTCATATCGGGAAAACAAATTAAATTACTTTAAGGGCTTCGGCTGTGCAGTCTGATACGACCCACCCCTGATCTTGATCGGAGAAAGTCCACGAACCTTTAGTAAAGTGACGATACATACTTTTGAAGTCTCCCGCAGGATTTTCTTTTATCTGCATAGTTAGCATGAAACATAATCCTGTTAACAATCTACTTTTGGCAGCTTTTATGAGGGGAAAAGAAACGTTTCGATTTTGCCTAGAAATGAACCTGAGATTCTTTCACATAGAAGTGAGCCTTCTTAAGGCAATCCCCATATTCCTCAACCATACCAGTTGCAATAACGGCTTGAGTGGCAAGAGCACTATCCCAGTTTTGACTACCAAAACTCTGCATTTAAAATAACAAATTGAGTTACTATCGAAGTAACTTTTTTCTACTTAAAAGTAAGAAAAACAGCATATACTTTTAAGCTTAGCAAAACATATTGTTGTGTCAAAAACACACCTGCATTTTCATTCCATCTTCGGCAAGCCACAAGTAATCGGGAACTCTTGCGAGGTGATGCTTAAATTCGTCACCATTTGGATCATGTGCCCACCAACACATCATTTGTAGACTCTGCATTAAGAAAAATGTGTGATTTCAGGCCTAACAACAACGTATTAGGGTATCTGAAACATCAAAATTTTGCTGTCGTTAATTTTATTTAGAATTATTAACCTTTTCTACACATCCGATGGTAATGTATCTGCTCTCTTCTGCGCCGTAACGCATGTATTTGATTGTCTTATCCATGGCTCGCTGTCTAATCTTATTCAGTGGCCAACGTCTCATTACTGGCTCGGTACAGTAGTTGAGAGTATCCCAGAGAAAATCCTGTATGAAGCTATGAGGATAGTACAAATCTTCCTGCATCAAACAAATATGGTGATATTATAAGTTTATTCAAAATAAAACTTACGAAGACGTAATATTTCTAACCTAAAGTTAAATCCGACCACGTCGTAAGATATTGACCTTAGTATAGGTAGATCAGGGGACAACTAAGGATTATTCGTAATTTGATTATACTTGACTACCCAGAAGGAAGGGCATTCCAAATCTAACTTTTCCAGCTATTTAATACCAAAATCAATTGTGATAGGGTCCTACTAGTTAACCACAAGAGAGACAATTCCTAACCTTACAACAGTCATGACGTGCTTTATTCCAGTCTATCTTATTATATGGCTTGACGTGAATCTCGTTTCTCAACGATAAAACAAGATCGGTGAGTGGCCCATGATATTTTCTCCCATACAAATATGACATAGGCATGTATGTAGTACGACAATAACACCACATCTTGGCTGCAACGCATACGAGAAACGAAAATTAGAATGAATCATACTAATTATAATCAAATCCTACCTAATCTTTAATAATCATCTATTGATTGGATTTTCTCTATCGTTATTTACCTGGATGATATGGTAAAAATGAAGGGAAAAGCCAGAATTCTGGTGGTAATGGGTTGCAACCATCCCAATCATACACTCCAAGGACCTGTATCAGAAAGTATTTGGTTCATAATGTTCCTCGCTTCAATCTTGGCTAATTTACTTGGAATTTTTTTTTTATTTTTTATCGAGATTGGATCTAAAGATTTATACCGAAAGATAGGTCTTTCCCCATGAGGGAATTCCGGTTGCACCTCCATGATCAAGGATCCATTTGCGGGCTCTAGCAATCGCACCATTACCATCGTCAGGCCCTTCTCCCAGCAAACGTAGAGCTATGTAACTAAGTGCAGAGCCAATCATCGTACTATGACCTTCAATGTAAAATCCCCATCCACCATCATCGTTCTACACATCACATTTCACAATTTTAAGCATCAGAAATACATATACAAACGTTTAGGATTCATAAGAAGTCCCCAGTATAGTACAATGGACAAGATTTCGACTCTTTCATTTTTCTTTAATTTAATACTGTATAGTCGATTGCCACCTTGTCAAAATTGTCATAAAGGCATGTTTAGGTACATCACCTGGTGGTTGTAAATGTAGCGAACCATCTCCTTTCTGTGTTCTGATGTGAGGATAGTATTAATTGCTCCACTGATATACAACACAATAATCTGCATGTATAATACTTGAGGATTAGCGTACAAACAGCAACAACTGTTTTTACCATTTTTGTACAGAACAAATTAAATTACAAAGTACATAGAGTTGATATGTATCCTTTCGAACGAGTAGTGAAAAAATTGGTGAAAATTAATCTTACCAGTGGAGGAGTGAAAAACATTGGGCCGGCGTTTTCAGCTGGCCAATGGCCATCACTAGCTTGAACTGCACGATTTAAGCGTAAAGCTTTCTTCACGGCAGTCGTGGCTGTTTCATAGGTTACTTCTTCTTTTTCTCCTAGTCTAACTGGTGGTATGCTCATCAGATCGATCCCACTTTCCTTAGTAAGCTGAGAAATATGGCAACATCAAATATGAGAAATCTTTAATGGCTTATTTGGTAAATGAATTATACAGTATGGACTTTGGTAATGCCTAGTTAACACGTACTAAACAGTCTTTAACAATACTTTTACGATATTAAGCTATGAATCTTGAATTTCTCTTTCACGCAAATTTAAAGCTCGTTTGGATCAAAATTTAGCCATGATCATGGATTCTCTGTACCGCTTGAATGTAAAAGTACAAGACTGATCGCTGAATCACCTGAATCCTCATGAACAAATCACCACAGGGGTGAACTCCCTTCAATTTCCGATTCCTCTGGAATTCTTCGCGAGCTTTATCAAATGCTTCTCTTTCTTCTGGTGTTCCGCCATTAGGGTCGTACTCCCAAGTTTGTCTGCCAACAAAATTGTTGGTGCTGTACAAATATGGTCCATGTCCTTCAGCAATCTTAAGCTTCCACATTCTTTTTCTTCGGAAATAATACTTTTCTTCAGTGATCTCTGCAGTTTCATGTATGGACTATGCTAATTAGCAGAAACTAAATTTGTTTAAATATAATTTTAATTCGAACATGTTAAACAAATTTGACCTTAATCAGTACATAAATTAAGGTGATACTTGACAGTCGAGAAAAATAATTGAAAGTTGACAAGTATGGGATTAAAATTGACCAATCACTTAAGCTTTAATCTTCAATTTTTTCCTAAAAGTTTCTACTACCAGTAAATGGAATCGATAACCAGGCCACTAGCTTATAGATTATGTTGAAAGTAAGGGTCCGGTTGATTGCAAAAGTGGAATTTGAGTGGAAAAAAAATAAATTACATGGAATTGAATTGCCTAGAATTTGTTTTACTGGGAATTGTAATTAATTGTGTTTTATTGATATAATTTTTCATTTGAAAAATGTTGAAAGTTTAGTGTCCGTTTGACTTCGTTTTTCATGGAAATTGTCCATTAAACTAATAATTTTTTTTTATAATTAGGTCTAAAATTTGTTTTAATTGCAAAAAAATTAAAAAAAATTATCATACCGAATACCATTTGTTTGACTTTGTTTTGCATTGAAATTGTCAATAGAAGTGATAAATTTTTTTACCATTGTGTTTAGAATGTTTTCCCAAAAAAAAAAAAGGTAACCTGGAAAACCAATTTCCACAAAATCAAGGAATGTGGCACGTGTGAGACAAAAGCAAGAAAAAGAGTTCCCTGGGAAAAAAAAATGTATCAAACAAGCTAAAAGTTGGAAATGAAATTTGAATTCCATTTTCCATGACAAAGATTGGCCAATCAAACAGTGCCTAATTGATGTAAATTCATTACAAAGTTCGTTCATGTTTTTTCTGACTTTTTTTTTTTTCCCTCTTTTTGTCATTTAACCATCGTAGAAAAACAAAAAAATATTAATACCGTTGATTAAAAGAACATAAGAAACGATTTTTGTCTTTGTTTCTCGCTGGTGGCTCTCTGTGCAACTTATTATTCTAGCTGCAAAACTTGTTTTCTATGCATGAGCTTGAACCCTCACTACAGGAAACTCGCAAAAAACCGGGAAAAAGGTATCTAATACCGTGGCAAATGATTTTTGTGACGGTTTTCCAATCAACTGAGAAGCAGCGCTCTAGCTACACAACAAACCCAGAGAGAGAGAGAGAGAGAGAGAGAGAGAGAGAAACCTGATCAACGAAGATGGCGAAGCTAAGAAGCTGCAAGTAGAAGTACTGCTGAGAAAAAAAAAATGGCAAATAAAGTAAGGAGGAAGCTATAATAGGGCAAACGGCTTCATATAATTATTTTTTGTAGGAGGAGAGGCTTATATAGAGAATTTGTACCAAGAACTAGAATGGTTTCGACTACTTTAAGAGACTAATTCCTAATAATATATAGAAAGATATATCTCTGTGGTAGCTTAGCATTTCTCCATGTTTGATATATCAAACGCCGTACAATATTGACCTCATAAAGTCATGTATTTACATTGCCAATTGAGTAAAAAATGTAATTAATTACCTCCATCATGGAAGTTCGACTTATTTTGGGAAATTCTGGCAAGTGAACGAGGGAACAAATTGAAGCCTTTTTTAATAATTAATGGAGACTCCACTAGAGACTTTTTGTTCAAAAATTTTAAAGGTAAGATATTTTTATTGATCATATGTGTGATTTAGTTAAAATTACAAAAGTTGCTTGTATATGTAACTAACTAATTGAGAATAGATTGGCGCAAGAGACACTTCGATATTTAATAACAATCAAATATCTCTTTATACTTTCCATGTATGTATTCAATTTCATACATGTACATGTGCCTATATATGTATGTGTACAAATATACGTCTTTAATATTGCTTTCAAAATAATTTTCACTTAGAGTTCGTTTGATTGCAAGAATGGAAAATAGGTGGAAAGAAAACGAATTCCAGAGAAAATAATTGCCTATAACTAGTTTTTTCGAAAACTGTCAATTAATTGTGTTTGATTTGTATAATTTTTTACCTGAAAAATATTGAAATTTTGGATCTTTTGGTGTTCGTTTAACTTTATTTTTCATGAAAATTGTCCATTAAAGGGAAAAAAAATTACAATTGAAGATAAAATTTGTTCATATTGCCAAAAAAAAGAAAAAGAAAAAACTAGAAAATCATTTTCCCACCACCATTCAATGAAAACATGGAAAAGAGGGTCACGTGATGGGGTGGGGGGGGAGACCAATTGCTAAGAAAAAATTGGCCATCAAACAACCAAAAAGTTGGAACTTGAAAAGTAGTTCCACGAAAAATAGCTAACATCAAACAGGGCCTTAAAAAAAAAAAATTATAAATTACAAAACTTGAATGAAAAAAAAAAGGTACTTTAAGAGAGATTTGTGCTTTTTCAAAACTTAACCAAACATTCTAGTATGCATAAAACGGCCGGCAAGGTGTTGCGAGTCACTAAATTTGGAGGTGGCATATTTTATTGAAATAAATGCAATTTAACTTCGAAGTACGGCCCACAATTTTCTGGTGAGATATTTTATTATTGGTAAGGTTTAAAGGGCAAAAAATGATAAGAAATCTATTTATTGGACACGTTGTCCTTTATTAATGAGCAAAATTTATAGAGCAACCAAAGTTGTTATACATCTTAAATCAAGACAGGAACTTCGCATTTATTAATGAAAACATACACGACATCGACAAAGGAAGGGCATTTTTGTAGCTAATCGTTATCAATAAATATTTACAAGGTTTATAAACGAGCACAAGCAAATTTTAATATGTGAGCAAGTAATTCGAAGAGTCGAAATATGTATGCGAACTCAGAAGTAAGCTGACGAACGTTAATAGTGTGAACTCTCATAAGCAACGTTGAATATAAAAGGCGAGCCAAAATACTTCATCAAATATGAGATCTAAATTGGTAAATAAAATGTGAAATATAACTAAATCAAATAGAAGCCAGCAAATTAGTGGTTGCCATGTGTCATTAACAGAAAAAAGACTTAACTACCTCAAGACCTTATAAATAGTATATGTTGTTGAAAATATAAACAATAAGTCCCTGTTTAATATAGGGATTGCAATGGTTCGGTCAAACTCATAACTGTACTATCAAATTTTTGATTATACCATAACCGCGCAATAACCACGTAAGTCGGTTCGGCTGGCTCGCTTCGGTTCGGTTAATTACCAAGAAAATAAATTATTTTTTAAGTCCAAACTCCAACCGCACCACCAAAATTCGCATTTCAAGCCTCTAAGAATCGTCTATGTAATGTGCGGTGATAGCCATAAATCCCTTCTTTTGATTGGATATCCACATATCAGTAGTAACTGCTATTCTTCTATTGGTCTCCTCTAACAAGCCCATTACTTTCGTTATCTTGTAATCATAAATTTTCCAGATATCAGCCCTAATAGTATTACAAGAAACAACTTTAAATAATGGTTAAACTGTATTACAAAATTTTCTAAATCCAGAATGCTCAACCATTGAAAGAGAATATTCATGTAGGATGATCATATTTGCAAGTTCCTTCCTACATTTCTCTTGATCAAAATTAAATGCCCACATTGCAGTCTTACCACTAGGTTCTTTAAATTGATTCAAAAATCTCTGTTTGATATCCTTCTGATCTTGAAGGGGACATCTATTAAAATGAGCATGTAAATGACTTGTCCCATTTTTTGACTCACCGACTAACTGTTTCTTGCATTGTTTACAAATTGCTATGGACACGTCATTAATTCTCTGTAACTTGAAATGCTGTCACCCACACTATAGAGGTCAATTTTCTTTTTTCTAATTTCCTCAGTCGGCTCATCATCACCTAAATCCATATAAGAAGGATTTGCTTTTACCTCACTTGGATTTTGTGAAGTAC